AACTTGCATTGCGTTTGACCCAAGTCGGTCTTTGCCTGTGGGGCTCCCATTTTATAATCTCATAAGAGCACCACGTTTGATCGTGGGCCAGGCTCCTTTTTCTCCAATCAGGCCTCGTGTGGGCTTGTGATCCAGGCCCAGCCTATCAGTGTGGTCTGCCCTGTGAGCCTCGGCGTTGGTGTCAACTGTTACCGTATGACTGGAGCTGAGATCTCTGGTCCTCCGTCAAGGGACTGCTGTGGGAGTCAGGAAGAACAGCTTGTCTTCCTAGTGGGGCTCTAAGCTATGAGAATGTAGCCCACAGATCTCATAAATACGTCACATAAAGAGGCCTGTGTAAGACTGCTGCTGGCAAACAGAAAAACCAGGCTGAGAGGCAGACTCCAGGTGCCTAAGCTTAAGACCTGGGTCCAAATCCAAGGCCACAGCCGTGTCTGCTTTGCAGACCTTCCATCCCCCAGGTTTCATTCTCCTGACATGACAGGGACAGTAAGATCCATCCCATAGGGTCTCTCACTCAGTTAACAGGTTGCCAAGTACGGAGTATAGTGCTAGGCACCAGGTAGGCATTTCAGAGCTGATTCTGTCTAACAGCAAACACTAAAAAGTGCTCAGTGGTTTCTGGGAAGGGGAGGATTTGCAACAGGGCCACGGTTCTCCCTTTTCACGCAGAGTCGGAGGCATAAACTATAGGAAGGATGATCCGAGCAGCCTCTGCCCCTGCAGACGGTGGCAGGATGCATGACGAAAGAAAAGCACACGAGTGGTCTGAGTATATGAACGCCCAGAAGACACACATGTACACAGGACCTCTTCCTTCCGAGGGGCTTGTACATTTTCCTTTGATTTTAATGAACTGGTGGGGGTGGGGGTGGGGCAGAGGAGATTTCCTTAGGGCGCAACCAGTGCTTACACGGGCCTAATATCTTCCCATGCCTTCTTATCACATCTTCCCACGTACGGCAGAGAGGGACTGAGTTAAGAAATTAAAAAGTCAGTAAGACGAAGCTTTCCATTTAAAATTCCCGTCTGAGCACATACCAATCCAACAAGAACAACGTCTTCCACCTTCCCTTCAGTGCAGGGTTTCTAATCCAATTGCTCCAGTAATTTAATAAATAAGATTCTAAGCATCATATCACTGGCGCGCAACCTCATACAGGAGGACTAATTGTTGAGAAATGGTCTCATGGATGCCTATACACGGCTGAAGCTCTTACAAATTGAAATGCAATTTCAATACACTTTAGCAAACAGGAAAAATGTTGCTTATTCCCTTTTGAAATGTAGGGCGTTCACAGATAAGGTGATAACAGAATGTGGGGTTATTCACTGACTCCTAAACAGTTATCCTGAGCAAAAGATGATTCTATAAGAGACCTTAAAAATACATAATTTTGAGAGGGATCTTTTGTGCTTGGCATTGCCATAAGCTGGAAATGAATATTTGAAAATGGCCCCCAATGACTTGGTGGGTTTGGGAGGCAATAAAGCTATCTAGGAAAAGATTCTTTAACCCTCCGGTGCAATCTAAGGTATGCAGGTCCTGCTGGGCGAAATGGCCGAGCACCTTATGATGGATTACAGCGCTGGGACACAAGATCCCAACTCACAAAGGCAAGTGAAGCTGAGACTAATAAATCAAAGGAACCTTCAGAAAAGTTGTGGAGCTGCTTCCCCTGCCTGGGAGAACTACGAACACCTTATCAGGCTTCTGTGAAAAGAAAAGGATTACTGCAGAGCCGGAATTAGAAAAAGAGTGTGCCTCATCAAGTCTCTCCCTGTCTGAACCAGATAAAATATCCCTTGGGAAGGCTTCAGGGAATGCCCCCGGGGAATGACAGTTGATATTAGCTGAGAGGGTGAAAGAGTTCAAACAGTGATGGAAATATTTGACTTTTTCAACTGTGAACTTAACCCAACAGTCTTCGGCCTTTACACAGATTCTGGGAACAGTCCTGCTCTTCCAAGGCACGGCCACGAGGTGGCCTCTATCCAAAATTGGGTCCCCGCGGTACAAGGCACAGAGGGATATGGTTTTTAAAAATGTTCTTTCTACCTGGAGTCTAAGCTGTGGTAACTTGCAAGTAAGACATTCAAGTCTCCAAGCTGTGATTGACTTAGTAGGCTTTTAATTTTACAAAGGAGGGTTAGATTTTAAAAGGACAGCTTCTACTTGGACAACGTTTTCTTCAAGGATGCGTCCAAGTTTGCGAACCATGTGAAGAAGAGGCTGGAGCGACGGTCTTGAGTAAGATGTAATGCTTGTTTTTTTCTTAATGCACCTTGTAATTTGCACGCGAGCCACGACATTTTATTCATTTTCTTATTAATGGGCCTGAGTGTGTTTAACACCGCAAGCCATAAATTGCAGAGCAGTGGATTAGACCAGGCTCTCTTTATTTTCCTGCCAATTGTCAGAAAGTGATGTGGGGTATGAGATGACCCTCCCCACTGACTCCCCCCCCATCCAACAACTGACCCCCTTCTTTCCAACTGCCAAGGGGAAAAACAGACACGGCCTAGTTTCTCATTGGTGAACTTGCCTATTGAGCAGCTCTGTTATTGAGATTAATAAGCTGCCAGTTTCCAAGGAAGACTAAGAAAACTGCAAAATTAAAGTGCACTGCAACGTGAAATGCTGCTGGTGGCCAGGCGGGATCAGGGTGTCAAAAAGGCAAGGTAAAGCTATAAAATAAGGCTGAGCTTGAAAGGCTAACCTAAAGGTCTCATTAATTTCCATGTTGCCTCTGATGAGAATTTAGAGGGGGCATAATGTTTTGCAATATGGAGAAATCAAGCTGCCTATTGATTTAAAAAGTACTTCAATGCATTTGGCTCACCCAGAATGAATTTTGGTTTTAAACTTCACTTGAAAACATTGGGGTGGGTGGGTGGGGAGGAGGGCGGCAAACAGGTTACCTTGGCTTAATAGTCTCAAGATCAAGCTTGTCAGTGATTCTGTCAGAAAATTAATCCTGAGGTGGAAAAATCAATCCGAGAACAAGTTTGGAACCGTCTTTGGACTGAGCATGATGAGGATGTTTCTATAATCCTGACGCTTCTCCGTGAGAATCTGATTTATTAAAGGTCTTAGATCTGGAGTCTCAAATATGCACTACCGATAAAGTATCTAGACTGGAGACTGCCCTTCAAAGACAAAAAGTGTGTTTTCTGGAGGTCGTTCCCAAAATGAGATCCCTTGGGTGCCACTCAGCAAGCCCCCGTGCTAATTCCTGCTCGGAGTACAAGCCATGGCTTCCTGCTCACAGACACAACAGTGCCATTCACAGGGCAGCCACGGGCTCCACAGCTCTTTGGCTTTCTTTTATCAGTCTGGCAAAGCCCCGTTCAGAAGAAAAGAATACTACAAATCACAAAGCTAAAAACGTATTTGTGTGTTTCAATTTTCAGTGTCGGCATGAACCCACGTTTTATAGCATGCAGAGCATTAAACCTCTCCCTATAAATCAGCTCACGCATGTCCTGCGTTGCCGCTGACACGGAGCAGCGAGGACCCAGATTTACCATCCTGGGTTGCCACCAGTCCCTCACAGCTGCAGCAAGGGGTTTCTTACATCTTGCCCTGCTTATGATTTTGACAATGACTAAGTCTATATCCAGTAACAGGCTGGAGTTCATCCCATAGATCATTTCTCATCTTATGTCATTATAATGCACTGCCTTCAACCATTCTGTTGGCCAAGGCAAATTAATTTGCTGTTTGTCATGAGGATAAGCATAGGGTTTTTTCTTCCCTGCTCCTAAAGATAATATGTGTTGGTTAAGCACATGAGGTCTATAATCAGGTAGACCCACGTTCAAGTCCCATCCCAGCTGCTTATTATGGGGTAATGTGAAACATAATCTGCGACATAGGTTTTTGTTATTTAAAATAGAATAGTAACATACACTCGACAGAAGCGTACAAGAGATTAAATGGGATCATACGTAAAGTTTTATGCCAAGCAAAAAGTACTTGAGGAAAAAAGGTTGTTACTCACAAACATATATGATGCTGTAGAAAACTGTAAAAGAATTTCTAGAGTGTTTTATAAGAGAAAAATAAATCACTGCTATCTTTTGATACACTATTATTTGTAAATGTGTGAGATTCTGTTACATATATTATTTTAGAATCAAAATGTCTTGCCAAAAATAACTGCATTTAATCCTTTTGCCACATCATAAGTTTAACGTGTTCCAAACTGGACTTCTGATGTCTGCCACAAAACCTACTCCTATTCCATCACTATTTACTCAGACTCACTAGTCAGAAAATTGCTGAGAAATGCTAGGGTTCAGCCACACAACCTAGCAATCATTAATGCCTCAGGATTCTAGCTTGCAAGCGCATCTCACATCATGAATATGCAGCACCATCCCCCTAATCAAAGGCATACCATATTTCATCTTAACTATCACAAGATTCTCCCAGCTGGACCTTTAGTCCACCCCACTCTAAAACTGTATCTTATTATTTTACTCTCCCATTTAAAATGCCTCAGTGACTTTTGATTGTTCTTGGGTAAAGTCCAAAATCTTTGATACAGCCCAAAGCGTATATACCATGTGGCCCTTGCCTACCTTTCTAGTTTGCATTCTTTTCCTGGCATTTGAGTGAGTCTTCCCCTAATAGGTCACTGTTTTTGCTACCTAGAGCTCTCTTTAAGTCTGATAAACACTCACACATCCCCAGCTTAGATATGTGTTCCTTCTCAAGGCACTTTGCATGTAGTAGGTAAGGGTTTTTGTAAAATCATCATTTGTTCATGTCCTGGGTGCATCTGGTTTGCTGTTTCTCTCAGGACACGATTTTGCTTTTTTCTTCTTTTTGAATTCTAAGTGCCTGGCAAGTGGTAGGGGTTCTCACAGATATTTCTAGAATGAATAATGGAGGATCATCTTACAAAGCAGCTTGCAAACTTGTTTACAGGTTAAGGAACTTGATGATTAAAATTAGGGCTTTCACTACTTGCAAACACAGAGGGAAGTTTTGTTCTGCTTTGGGTTTCTTGTTAGGGAACTGTTGTCCACACGGAGTCAGAGAAAGGCTTGCTTCAGCAAGACACACAGAGAAAGAAAAGTCAGTTCCTGTTGCTGAGCTGCCTTCCGCCATTTTTGGAAAGCGAAGGTGCCTTCAGACACTCCCGAAGAAGCTGCTGACCGGGAAGCTCCTGATTTTGGCACTTCCAACACAGGAAGAACACACAGGTGAGATCAACCATGTGGGGGTGTGGGGGATAGTTATGTATAGTACAGACTGTTCGCACTTAGGCTGTCTGCCTTATGTTTGGTTTTTCTTGGATTATATCATAGCTTATACATAAATTGATAGCTTTGGTCAATAAAATTTACATGCACGGTTCTTTTATATTACTAATATTTATACAGGACTTACTTGCTTCTTTAGTCTTATATTCCAAATTTGTACAGTCCTATTTTCTGGCTGTGTCTTCTAAATCAGCACCTCCAGTCCTACTTGTCCTCACACACACAAAGAAGGAAAAAACCACAGAAGCACGGTTCTGAGAAGATGGAACAGGCCTCTGTAAGACTGATAGGGATTTGGACAGCTGCGGGGACCACAGGCCAGGGACCATTCACCACTAGTCTAAGAAGTGCATTGGACTTGGGGCACAGTTTCTGTTGTGGCAGAATGCCTGCTCATTACTGCAGGGGTTATGAAGTTCTTGCATCACTTCCAGAAGTCTGTATTAATGAGGGGGGTGTGGTGAAGCTGTTTGTAAATTTCCACTGCATTTTCTAAGTCAGTGACTACATCACAATCTGCTCCAAGAATGTCTTGTCTTTAATGGTTGTCTCTCCAGGATGTGATTACCAATTCTTATTCGGTATGGGAGAGAGAAATGGGAATCCTGTCACAGTTCTTATAATGAAGAAATCCCATATCTACTTTTGGTATCATGCCCCTAAAAAGAACTCCTTTGTTTATATGCTTTCATGGCTAAGGAAATAACATTATTAAACTCACAATGTTATAACATTTAAATAAATGAATTTGTTCAGTTTTCACTTGCCAAGATGCTATGAAAAATAAAACAGTGGAGAATGGGAACAAATAATATGCTGTAGTCTTGGACTTTTTTCTACTTTTCCAGTGTGTGAACTCTTACTTATTCCTCAAAACCCAGATCAAACAGCCTTTCAGTTGTGAAATTTTTCATGACATCTTTGGGAGACTCAAGCACTTCTTCCACTATACAATCACTATAACTTTTACACTTCTATGAGTGTATGCACCATCCTCTTGTTTATTGCCGACCTCCTCCTTTAGATGGTTTGAGAGCTTTAAGAAAAGAAGGCATGTTATACTCATTACTTCCCTGGTATCTAACATTGCTTTTGGGACATTTGAGGGACTCAGTAAACACTCACTAATAAGAGAGTACATTAAGAATATTTAAAAGTAAATCATATTTCAACAGTCTGATGGACTGCTGCTAAAATTTTCATCTATGAGACCTGTTGTACTTTCACAGTTTATTTGCTGGGATCCGTGAGTGAAGCTTCAAATATCCACCACCTCTGGTACCCTCTGCTTGATCTCTGGGAAAAGCCCATTGTATCACCTGGCATTCTCCAATCCTTGGTTCCTGAATATACTGATGAAGGAACACACCTGCGTTGGTCTCACTCATTCATTTTTTCTTTTTCTTTCTGTGGGTAGATCTAGAGGTTCTGGCAATCCCGTTTACCTGACAAAGTTTGGTAACTTTAACTTTGCCTCTTCCAAATGCATCACTGGGAGTTCTGACTCATGGAGAAATCCATAATATCCAAATGACACGCAGAAGGACTCTAGAGATCAGAAAGTAAATCCTGGGAGAATTGACCTCAGGAAAGGAGAAGAGAATCTGCAGGCTTTGCTGGTTGTCTCTACTAGGTGCTTGTCAAGAGGACATTTTATTATAAATGGTTGTTTAAAGTGAACCTCTTGGAAAACTAGTTGATTACAAGAGGAGTGGGAGACGTGCTTATGTGTTGTATGTGTTCTGATCACCAAGAGGAGACATCTTGCAAGGAGCAGACACTGTGCTGCATCTAGTTCTATAAGGGAACAATTACAGCTATGAATAGAGGTTTGTGGTTATTCACCCATTAGACATTTTGCTGCTTTATTTTGTGTGTAGAGTTCCATTTAACATGGTGTATAATTTATTGTCTCCCTGAAGCCACAGACTTCCTGCAGGTTTCCTTGTTCTTCTACAACTAAATTTTGCATCTTTTAATAGTCCTTTCTTCCTACCTTGTTGTGTTGATTTTAGGTTGAATGAGGTAATGCTTGTATGCACTGGTGACCAGCATACATGAAAGACACAGCAAAAACCGATCACTGATGGTCATGGCAGTCTTCATCTTTACTACTGTTTGCTGCTTTGCTGCAGCAGTGATCACACTTGCACTGCCCTTTCTTCACGCTCTTCTTTCCTTCTTCATATAATCCACTGTACGTAGCCTTTCTATCCAGAAGCTATTTTTCAAATAATGATCCATTAATATAAAAATAAGATGAGCAGCACCCAACAAACTTTTGGATAATTTATAAATATGGAAGGAAAAAGACAGAAACATCTCATACAGTCTTTAAGACCAGCATCAACTATAATAACATCCTGAGTCAAGCCTGGTTGACCAGTAGCTTCCAGCAAAACTGTTTATTAGTGGATTTTTATCAGCTTAGATGTTTAAGTTGTCTATTATATATATATTATATATATACATATATATGTACTTTTTATTGATTTTACTTCTTTTAAGTGCTAGAAATTAAGATTGTAGGCATGGTTAAAAATAACGTATAACTGTCAGAAAATAAAATTAAAATTTGGAGTGATTGTAGTGACAAGGGTGTACAGCATATTAACTTTCAAAATTTTATTAAAAAAACTAAAACAACAAGAAAAAAGTAGCCAAGAGATAACTCCAAATGCCATGGTTTTCGAAATTGCTGCTAGCTGTGTGCAGAAGATTCGCTGGCCATTACCAGAAAGATTACAGATTATTTCTGTCTTTCTTCCAGTCTAAGTTATTAAAGTTTAAAAACTATTTGAGAACTTGTGGAAGGGTCAATAAGAACGAGGCCCTCTTTCTGCGTAATCGCCACGGTTCTTCCAGACAAGGACACACTGGCAATTGGAACACATGAACCATGGAAGTAGCTGGGGACGGGCCACACAGCTGCTTCAATACCTGGCCAGCCTGCTCACAGCCTCTGCTGTCAATTACAGAGCAGACGCCATGCTGGGACTGGTGGGTCTTCTTTTAGGTCACTAAGGTGTGCATGGTTTTAGAAGATCAGAAGTGAAGGTGGAAAAATATGAAAGCAAAAGCAAACCAGACAAAGGCAGACCTACAGATCGTTTTCTGACTCTTCCCCGCTCACACCCATGCAGCCCCTTTTTCTGTGTTTGTTTTTATACATTCTTGTTTGCCCCACAGGCATCAAGCTGTTAGTGTGTACAGGAGGGATTAAAGCGAGACTGCATGTTGGATGAAATATAAATTAAAATTATACTTCTGTCAGTCTGGAATCTAGGATTGTTTCTCAAGGTCTCCCCAAACACTTAATTTCAAATGAGTCTTCATTTATTACTTCAGGAAAGGCCAAATGCATAATTTATCAGCAGCTTTCAGTCAATATACCCTTATAAGCACGTTTCCCATGAGCCTTTGAGTAAAAATATGTTATGCTAATTCTATTAGTTGGGTACACAAGAGCTGTCTAAGAGAGTAAACAAGCATTAAAAGGAGACACATGTGAACAAAGAAATACCTGACAACCTACTGTCCGGGGTCAAATTGCCAGGGGAATAGAAGGTGTTAGGCTTGTCTCATTATTTATGCTAGGAACGTCCCACGCACTCAGACTCCGAGTCACCTAGTGACTATGTGTGGGTGACAAGGCTAAGGTGAGAGGTAGAGTGTGTCTCTCTGACAGGCAGATGAGGACTTACCGGGTCTCTAGTGGCACGTTGCTGTTTAGCACCCAGCTGTCCTGAAGCTGCACAGACTCTGGTGTGGTGGCCAGGTCATTGGGTGCTGGGGCAGGGGCGTGGATCTGACTGCGCCGATTGGTCAGCGAGTTCCTGTTGAGGGAGTTGGCGGATGAATGGTGATGTGACAATGTGTGGTTGTGAGGAGGTGGAAGAGGGGGCCTCAGAGTCGACTGGCTGTGGTGGTTCGGAGGACCTGGAAACAGAAGGAGAAACAGCTATCAGTGCCTGTGGGGACCAGTCTCAAGCTCTCCGCAAATCTGCAAGGTAGAATTTGCAACCAAAGTCCTTGTGTAGACAACAGCTGGAAGCCACAAGCTAGAGAGGCAGGAGAGACTGCAGGAGGCATTTCAGGGTTGAGTACAAATAAATAATATGCTTTAATTTGCATGTATGCATATGCATCCAATGAAGAATAATGAGGAACGAAGTTAGGAAGACCAAGTTGATGAGGAGTGGCCCGTGGAGTTATTTGAAACATATAGTACTACAGTAAAAGGAGCACGACACATAAGGGGAACCATTGCTGCAACACATTTCTATTCTGTTTCAGCACTTTCCACTGCATTCTTCTTCCTCTACTCCTTCCCCTGCCCCTTTCCCTCTCCTTGTTTCTCTTCTGTGGTAGTGGGGATGGAACCCAAGGCTTCACTCATGATGAGCAAGTGCTCTACCACTAAGCTGCAGCCCCAGAATCTGCACACGTTCTTTCAAACACATACATTGATTTTATGGAAGCAGAAAGTAGAATGATAGTTACCAGAGGCCAGGTAGGGTGAGGTGGGGTGGGCAGAGGAGGGGAGAGGCTGGCCCATGGGTGCACATTTCACAGTCCTGCTGTCCTACTGCACAGAGGGGTAACCACCATCGACAACGTATTGTACATTCCAAAACAGCCAAAAGACAAATTTGAGTGTTGCATCCCAAAGAAACGAATCCTTGCTGTGACAGAGAGGTTAAGTGCCCTAATGTGATCACTACACAATCTATACATGTATCTCAAAAATGTGGACAATTTTAATGTATCAACTGAAAATAAAATAAAGCTGGGGTGTAGCCCGGTGTTACAAGTGCTTGCCTAGCACATCCAGGGTTCTGAGCGATACCTAAATGAGGAATAAAATTAATTCACTGTTCTCTTGAAGTGGAGTAAACATACACCCATACGACTCTGAGTTAGGGAGCCTCATGTTTAAACTTCTGGTCAGGCAGGAAAGCGAAGGGAGTTAGTTGTGAGCTGGACTGAACTGGAGAGAGAGGAGCAGAGTCCTCCCGGGCCTCAGCTAGTGTGGCCATGAGGTACCAGGTGTGGCTTCTGGCTTTGTTGGAAAAGCTGGAGAGTCTGTACTTGTGATGAAATTTCCTGGGTTTTGGCGGTGTTGACAATTAACTGTAAAAACATACCTACCTACATACATATATAAGAAAACATGTATGTTGTATGTATGATTTTTAAAAAAATGAGTTGACCTAGCACATCTGTGAGGCTGCTCTGATCAGCAGGTTGAAAACTTCTCTAAAAGATGAACCCTGAGAACTCTGCCTCTGGAGAAGGTCAGGGGAGATGTTTTCAAGCCGTGATTCCCTACTCCAGACTGCATCCTATTTTTAAAGTAATGACATCTTTATCCTTGCAGGAAAAATGAACAAATGAGAACTCCACCTCTGGAAATACCCCCATGTCATGATAAAAACATAGACAATTCTGCCCATGTTTTTTGTAGCAACCGATTCTCAATCTGCACAATGGAATAGATAAAGCACAGTGAAAATGAAAGTAGTTCCCTATGTGATATAAGCCTATAATTTCATTTTAATGGATGCTGAAACATGACTTTTAATTTGTGTCCTTTGAGAAAGTTTATTTTTTTGAAGCCTCCAGTCAGGGCTGGCAGCTCACCAGGTGACTGCTGAGCCTTGTCATTTTGGCCCCTGCCAACTTTTAAAATCCTCAGCCCCTGCTGTCCTGGCTTTAAGAAGTTGGCTCAAGTCATTTAAACAAGCAATTTGACACAAATTTCAACTACTTGTCTCCTTATGTGGCCAGGCTACATCTCCAAAAGGTGTAATCTACATGCTAGGGTTCCCGCAAAGCCTGAAGAAACGTTCTGAGGAAAAGACAACATGTCAAAAAGATACTAGGTTTAGAGACCATCACGACCAACAAAACAGGAAGGAAAAATGTGGCGAAAACTAGTGCCTTGAAGTATGCATCTTTGGACTGAAATTACTTGGGGGAATTTTTTTTTAAACATTCAGAAAAAGACAGCTAAAACCCAGTGGGAAATGCCATGAAACAGTTGTATGGGTTTTAAATTGTGTCCTCCAAATGAACCTGTAATTCATGTTTTACATTATGCATCAGTGACACCTTAACTATATCTTTGGGGGAGTTTCATAGCTGTACCAGGCTATTATATTTTCTGGCATTGTTGTCTGTCTAGTAGTAATACATTGCATTTTTTCTGTCTCACATTAGTGGAAAGAGGTGGGCGGGGGGGGAAATGATGTCATAATGATCCCTCAGAGATGCTCTCCAAGCCCCTCACACATGGTTAATGAATTCTCTTCCCCTCTCTAAACTCCCACCCTAGCGGTATCATTATTCCCCATTAGGTAATTATGAGACTTGCCTGGGGAAGATGAGGTCAGTCAGTGTACAATGAGAATCCACTCTCTCCAACCCTGAGCCCTGGCCTCCCATTGCTCTCTGCCCCCGGCCCCACCCTGGCCATCCGGACCACACACTCCGCCCAAGTACAGATGCCTGTGAGGGATTCCATTCACTAACTGTCATGCCAGACACTCTTGCTTCCAGTTTGTTCACCTGGAGCTAAGATTTCCTTGCCTACCCCAGCCTGGGTGGTCTTCCCCTGTCCCTCTGTGTTCAGGTGGGGGAATTCCTGTGGTTGCTAGTATGTAATGGTACCCAAGGCTGTTGCCCAGGGGAAGACACACCAGCTTGGATGCTACGCAGTGTATTCCAAATAAAATGGATGATACGTTTTCTAGTCTGCCGGAAGAAAGGTCAAGATCTCGTTCCACTTTTCCTAAAGAGAAAGCTTAGAAAGTCTAGAAGAATTGGAGAAAAAAAGAGGAAGATAAGATGAAGGAATACTTAATTCTCCACTCATTCTACCCTCCTAGGAAGCAGCATTCTATTTCACCACAAATAAGTTAAATTATTGATAACAAAAAAAAAATTATCCAGTATCCTTAGCATTGGAAGGTGTTGTAATTATTGTGGTTGTTTATTTCCACTGTAATGTTGATTTTATTTGCGCATGTAGCTATCCAAATGTCAGATTTTCAACTAGGTGAAGAGGATAGAAGGAAAGGACAATCACAATACAGAGTAATAAATGCTACCACTTGGGACTATACAGAGGGTATGAGAAAGTCGAAGAGGGACACATAGCTAGAGGTCAGGAGACAAAATCTAAAGGGCGGGTTCAAGGGTTATGTATGCCACCTGCTAGCAGCAGAACCAGAGCGTGCTACCTTGTTCTTTAAATTCCAGTTTCCTCATTTGCCAAGCAGTGAAAAACAGCAGCAACCGCTTGCTAAAGTTGCTGTGAGAGTGGAAAAAAGGATGAATATAAGACAGCTAAACCTGTACCTGATGCCTGGCGAGTTCCCCAAAGCTATGCACATGGAACACTGGTTCTTTCAAGGATAAAAGGGTGGAAAAAATATAACTGCAGCTCCCAGATGTGAGAAGAGAGAGTAAATCTAGGCTTCCTTTATCTAGGTCAAAAGTTACAGATCAGCAGCTCTCAGTCAGAATATTATAAAAAATCAATGATCAATATTTTATAGAGTATTCAGATTTCTTCTAGAACAAAAATCAAAATTAAAATATTGAATATCCCCTCATGACAATAGAACAGAGGTAAATGCTCCTGAGCTGTTTCCCTAGTTTACCATGGCCCTAACCATTTGTGTTGTCTTATCTTGCTGGAAACAATCAACTGCATTCTTGCCTACTTATGCTATTATATTTTGACACTTAGTTCAACCAGAGGTACCCTGGTATTCAGTGAAGGTAATGTCTCTCTAACATGACAAGATCCCGCTACAGCTAGAAAGCTCAAGCATTTTTTGGATTTATCAGCTGTTGTCATAGTCATTCAATGTACTTGCTGGTTGGGAAGATTTTCTATTTCAAAAGTGCAGACAATGCCTGACAACACACTGTACTGCTTTCTAAGAAGCTAAAATGCATGAAAAGCCCTTCTCCAAATCAAAGGGTGCCTCCCATCTATAATGAGACAAAAATGAGTAACTCAGTGTGATGAAAAGACCTTACTGTCCAGTCTAAGTTTTAAGCATTTATTTGGTTTAATTAACATGCATATTATTTATGGCTCTCCTATTATGTAAATATAAAAATCACATGATAATGCAATTTAACCACAAATAACTGCATCACATAAATGATTACACAGTATCAACCCAATAAATATGCTATTAATAGGCAAAAGGCAACTGTCATTAAAATCTCACTGGCGACCTATTATATGGCATCTGATTCACCTTGAGTCAAGAGCCTTAAAGTTATTTTTAGGTACTAGGTAGTTTTTACTCTTAGGAAGGAGGCTCTGTTGTACTGGTTCTTTCCTAAAAGCTAAAGAAGGCATAGTCAAGAAATGTAAGCGTATTTCTAGGACAGGTGCTTTGTGTGTATCAAAATGTGAAGTCCACGCGTAAGCACTACTACACGTCTGTATGCAGCATGGTCTGAGCATTTGTGTTTTAGACATTCTGTGGGAGAGTTGCTGCTAGTTGATTTTGCCATGAAAGCATTCACGCATTTTCTCCTGCATTTGCTCAGGGGCTGATAGTGCAGTCTTAAGAAAAGCCAAGCAGTCCTGCCTCCGCGAGCAGCAACACCAATTCCGGCAAAGATCTGAGGACTACAGATCTTGGTGCGGCCAGTCTTGGGTTGACTACAGCAGAGTTGCTCAGGTAAACAACCAACAAGCCTGCATTTTAAATAACACAAAGGAAGAATTTTCCAGGGAGCGAAAGAAGTAAATTGCTAATAATTGGCCATTGTTGCTGCACTCTGTCTTAATAAACAGCTGGGGGAGGCATTTAGGCTGGGTCTGCTCTTGCCAAGGCGGAGGGTCTGAAGGTGTGGGAGGGCAGGGACACACTGAGATAGCCTTGTCTTACTTTAGAGTGTGCACGGAATTTTCCTGGTGATTCAATATGATGATGAAGTGTATGAAAGAAAAAATAAAAGTAGGGGCCTGCCTGCTGCTAATAAATCACTCATTCCCAGAAATGCATGCCCACTCTTGGTCTTTGAGCGTATCAACCCCCTCAGACCAAAGATGATAAATTAACCACAAACCCTCTGCCCTCTTTGCTGGACCCACCTCTCTGGAGCAAGCTACATCTTGACAGCAATTTGAAGATGTTAGCAGCGGGGCTGGTGTTGGCAGAGACTTCGGAATCTCTGGTTGATGAAAACTCTGTTCAAATTTGACTTTGGATGAGAACCAGAGGGAACCGGGGGTGAAGAGTTTCCAGAATAACAGCCTCTGGGTAGAAGTAAGGAGGGTAGAGTTGCTTACAGATGGACAGCCTGACAGTTGGCTTTGGCCAGTGACTAAATATGCAACCACTGGAAAGCTATATACTTTTTTCTGTTTCTTCATCTGCAGAATGGGTATAGTAATTTAACTTCTCATATATGGTTTTTAGGAGACTCAGATGAAAATATATTATAAAGAGCCTTGCACAATTCCTGGCACATAGTCAGCTGTTAGTAAGTACTCTTCATATATTATTATTATTTGGCATAATTAATGATATTGATAATAGTGACAGCAGCCTAAACAACTCTGGCTCTGAGGAAAATGATGTGTACCTCCTGGAAAGCCATGGGCACCAGGATCCTAGCTCTCTGAGATGTACTCCTGGAGGAACATTTCAAAAATTAACATATGGAGCTAAAATCCCCAACTCCCATCTAAAATCCCCAACTACTGTCTTCAAATTTAGCCCGCAGAAAGGAAGAGTGACTAAATGACATGACCTGCGGCACTGATGGAGGCAGTCTCAAGAGTGCATTTCTGAAACATCATGAAAATGAAACAGGACAAAGAACTGTTCCATTTCCACAAATGAAACAATGACTGTTAGTGAGGAGCTACGCGTTACGTCCTCCTTGTGTGTCTGGTACTATGCAAAATATTGTGCATAAGTGATTTTTACAGTAATATCTTGATTCACAAGCACTTCTGTTTGCAAACAATCTGGTTCTCAAATAAAAGCATTTGACAAAATTTGCTTCCATTCACAAACTCCACATTGTATGACAAACACATGCGCAGCCATCTTCCCCACACAAACACGAATGCGGCCATCTTCCCCCAAATCATAAAACAAATTGAGTTCACGAACCGAGGTCCTACTGTATACATTCCCCCTCACTATCATGGGTAGGTTGCTTTTCATCCCTATGTCATAGATCCAGCAAGTCAGGGTCAGAGAAGTTCAGTAATGCAGGAAACATCACACAGCTTAGTAGGCAATATTTTGTTATTTCTTTGCTTGGTCCTAAGGTGTTCTCCTCTCCTAGCCCTATGCAAAGGAACACAGGACCAGAGCACACTCACAGAGAGACAGGACAGGACACTGGCCTGGGTGGATGTGCACCTAACAAGCATAGAGGAAAACTGGTTTGAATTATTATTTTTTTGCACATGTGCTTAAATGGCAGAATCAAATCTTGTGAGAACTTGGAGGGAAGCCCCGAACTCCAGGCTCTGCACTGCCTCACGATGCTGCTTGAGTCAGGAGAAATAGACCAGAACAGCCAAACTGCAGTGCAATCTCTTTTTTATGCCTTCTCCGCAGGCCCTCCCCAGCCCTCTCTGTGCTGCTCCCAGCTCCGCTGCCAGTGGTGTGAGGGCTGGGTAGCAATGAGGTCTGTCAGAAGCAGAGCCAAGGGCGTGCTCCATCCTGGCTTGTCCTGCCCTTTTCTGACCGGAGATATTTTGCCAACACCTGGGGATGGAGGAATACAGGGAGTGGGTCCAAATGTAGCCTCCTCCTGTGCTGGGAAAGAAATGCCCTTATTTGTCTTTAAATATTGGGCACATTGGACTCTGAGCTTGCTCCTTTTTCTCTTGCCTTAACATCTACTGAATGATTCGTCTCCTAAGGCAGAGACTTCTGTTCCCTGCCCCTGACACAGGTGTGGTGTTGCTGGCCTTGCAGGGCAGGTGAACGGTGTGCAGTGTTATCTTACAATGACTGCAGCGAGCTGGAGCTGCAGCCTTGCAGAGTAGCAGAGAAAGAAGGAAGAAGAGCGAAGGAGCAACCGGAATTGTCTCTCCTTTCGCATTTCCCAGCCCTTGGGCCCAGCTCTGCCCAGTGCCTCTTGGCCGAGGGGGACACACTATTCCGTTCCAGGGAACTGTCCTTGACAGAGGGGCCTCACTCAGCCTGAACAGAGGGCCCAGGAAGGCGGGGGCTGTGCTCACTTATAAAGGAGGATTTATAGTTCCTTGCTTATGAAAAATATACGACCTCAGAGCAAAACCACGCCACGTACATTCACAATGACGCACAGATCAGCACTGCATGGCAGAAGCATGGGAATTACTGTCACAAGGAGCAATCATTTGTAGGCTTAGAAACCCAAGTTTTGTCAGCTCTCCCTGTACTCATAAGAGACTGGGGTTGGAGGGACATGGTAGAACCTCTAAGAACAGTGGCTCTCATTTCATCAGCACCAGTTGTGTGGTAAGCACTGTGCACGTTGCCTCTCACTTAGTTTGGTTTTTCTCAGGTACCGGGAACCGAACTCACGACCTTGCGCTTGCCAGGCAGGCGCTTTTGCCGCTGAGCTAAATCCCCAGCCCCGTTGCCTCTCACTTAGAACTTGCAATAACTTTCAAAGCAGATATGTTCTTCATTTTGCAGGAGAGATAACGAAGGAGCAGGGAGGCTGTGATGAGTCTCCCACCTTAAAGTTTTGGCACTGAACTGTAACGTATCTGTGTCCCTCCTGCCTACTCACTTCGCACACTGCCTACCTCTCTCTTGTGACCCTCAGAACATGGTTTCACGTTATTTTTGGTTTCTTTTTTATTCATTATACTGTGAGCTTCTCCAGGGAAAAGTGTCTGTCCCCCTGCTTTTACTTACGCAGGGTAAGGCCACAGTGACTGATAGGACACTAGCAGTGAGTGAATGAATGGACAACCTGTGTCCCTGGAGCTCATGTTTGAAAGTTTCAGTAGGAAGGATCAGAGTATATTTCTAGTTCTGTCTTTTGAGTAATCCAGTGGTTTGCCAGAATTAATGATGGGCCTTCCCTAAACCTCCTCAATCTTTTTGTCCTGAGAAATTCCTTTAATAGGGAGCTAGCCTGACACGGGGAGAAGGTGACTTTGAGTCCTTTTATCTTTATCTGTCTGATCACCTTTTCTTTGTTTTCAAATACCTGACATACCATAAAATTCATTTTTGTAAAGTATACATTTTGGGATTTCTGCTGTATACTCACTGAGATGTGTAACCATCATTATCAAATTTTAGATCATTTTCTTCAACTTCAAAGCAAACACCATAGCCCTTGAACACCATACCCTTTGGCAATTCCTCCCGTTCCTTCCCTCTCTCCCACAGACTCTAACAGATGTGAATGTACTTTCATTCCTATACTGGACATTTCACAGAAATGGCGATTGTCTCTTTTTAAAGACCATGATGTCTGTCCATTGCAGCCCTGTTGGAGCCTGCCAAAGGTAAATTTCAGATGTGCACACTTTGGCCACTTCAAAATATCTTTCCCTGAAAAGATAAAAATACCTTTCCCCGAAGCAGCTCTTCCACTGGAACCTTTTGGCTGAGTCCCTGCTGCTGTTAATATTTTGCAGATGGAGACTGTCAGGTGAGGGCCACTGTGAAGCCACCTGGATGCTGGAGGGTCTGAGGAGGAGGGTGGAATTTGTTCTAATGGCTCAGGCATGGCCGGATCCCAGTGGAGGGCCACACCTGTTCAGTCCAAGCCCAGCCAGGCGCAGGCAGGCACTGCTGTGGGGAGGGGAAGACTTGGGGGATCTTGAATTGGGTGCCCAGTCAGTATTGCCCTGAGCGCAAGTGTTTAAAAGCAAATAATTGACCTACTTGGGACCGACTTTCCAAAAAGGCAAGTTGTCACCTAGGCTGGGTCAGGAAGGGATTTTAATCTCAGGTATTCCATCATTTCACCATACTCCATATTCAGTCTTTGCTTTCCTAAATCATTAGGAAAAGATTCCCAGAGATCAGTGTCAACCCCACTGGATACACACACACACACACACACACACACACACACGCACACACACAGCGAGAGATCACTTGAAATATTTGAGAAGAACCCTTCTAAAGAGGAGATTTTATTGCAAAGTTCCATCTGAGCAGTGTCTATCTGAGCATTTCCATAAATCTACATTACCCTAGGTATTTGGGCATCCTCTGGGAGAGGAAAGCTTATCAGTAGAAAGTAATGATTTTGGGTTTTTCAATTGCCCTAAGGATCTTGACAATACTATTAAGACCCATGAGCTCCCTGTCGAGAAGTTTAGGAGTGAAATTATTAATACGTGCAGACGTTATGCTGATTGTTGCACTGTAGCAGAAAATACTGTCTGTTATTTGAGGTGCATTATCACTTTCCCAAGCAGAGAATTGCATCAAAAATTTAAACTGTTCTCATCCCAGCTCATCACATAGCTTTTCAAGGTCTTATTGTAAAATAGGCTGGGCATAATTTGGATATTTTCCTATCTATGAAAGATAATATGTTTTTCAAAGACCAAACTACTTTTTTTTTGCGGGGGGGAAGCCCTTTGTAGTAGAATTCTATCCCATCAAGATGCCATTATTTAGCCCTTTAACTAGGTTTTCTGTGGGGTGTATTTTATTCCTTCCTTTTTTTTTCTTTGAAATATTCATGATGTTTCCCCCTGAACACAGAAAGAGGACCAAAACAAAGATAAAATATGATTTTGATATCAGATCAAGTTTCTGGGGAACAGAGTGTTGGGGACATATTGTGACTTGCATCCTTCATTAACACCAAGAATGACCGAGGCACACCAGCTAAATGACAAGAGGGGGAGAAAGGTTCCCGGAGCATTTTCACTTCAAAGCTCAGCAGAGTTATTTACTATCGGGGTGACCTTTTCCCAAAATCTCTCCTGGTACATGTCTTATAGGGCAAGGGAACAAGAGTTTCTCCATGCTATATAAACAGAAGTCAGCTGAATGTCAGACCTTGGTCTGTATCCTCTTTCATGGTAAGAAGCAGCTGATCTAATGGGATGTGTAGGGTGTGTTTCACAAGACATTTTCAGAATACTCTTTCTGTGTTTAGAACACACACACACAATTATCCCCTGAAAACATCTGAGCACTTCCCGAAGCAGAATTTATGGCCCAGAATTACATGGCTCAAGCTTACTGTCAGACAGAGTGTCCAGCAACTGGGCAGAGAAAGATGAGAAAATACCCTCCTCCATCCCAAAGAGCCCTAGATGCAAACAATTTTAGCAGAACACTGGCTGGGTGGTGAGTGTGTTGCAGTGCCCTCAGTTTTAGAGCTGGTGATGAGTCAGTGCGGTCAGGACCCCAGCTTCCATGGAGTGCCGCTGCAAAAACTGGACCCTACAGTTTCTCATGTCCTTTTCAGGGTTTCTTGGTCCCTGAGATGCTGATCTCTTTAATTTTGCCTGGAGTACTATTGGTATTAGACAACCAAAAATCTGAGAGGCCTAACCTTTGTATGCCTCTGATCCGTAAGAGGACCCAGCATAAAAGGTGGGTAATTACAATTTCTTTTTGGTAAAGACAGTTAAATGAGATAGTACATGTAAAGCTCTCAGAAAATGCATTACAAATACAAGGCAGTCAGTAAATGGCAATATTTATTTATCTAGGCCTGAATAGGCTAACTCTTTCTTGAGATAGTGGATGAGGAAGTGACACAGAATCTATAATTCAAATATTATCATTTGGGTGACTTGGAAATTTTCCGTTAGCATATGTTTTTAAGGTAAATAGGACTATTAAGAATAGGGATCCTTTGTTCTGCTATTGAGTTAGAGCAGCTCTGGGTCTTACAAAATATTAAAATAATCAGTGAGCTTATTTTTCATATTTGAAGCTTAAATACCCTGGAATAAATATATCAGACGTTGGACGATTTGAACTACCTTCTAGTAGCTACTTTCCTTTGGTCAATTCTTTTGTTGTCCATGAAATCAGCACCA